TGATAATTAAACCCGTATATCTAAAGACTAGTGTAAATTGAGCCCTTATTATAGAAGTAAAAATGTAATCAAACAGTTTAGGTTTGTTGGAAATAGCATAAGGCAAAACGAATATTGAAAAACTAATTAATCCTATATTTACATTTTAATTGCTGGTTTAACATACGTAAAGTGACTTTCCCGATTCTTTTATTTGTTTTAGTGTATCAAAACATAAAACAAACCTTAGTACTAGTACTAAGTTTCAAGTTACTAGGTTTCATATGTTTTGATAAGTAGTATTAAACTGTTAAAAATGACGAACTGCTGTACCAGTGTACCATCGGTACACTGCATTTTTCAATGGAAAGTATCGGGGAATATCACTGCTCTAAGTAATTTTATATAGTAAGTAGTTCAAATCATTCGGTATACCTGAAAAAATACTTTATGAAAGTTTTAAAATAATTTTTCAGCTGTTCCTATGAATTTCTCTAACATTTAAATTAATTGAGATTTAATCGCAGCTGGTCCTTCTTTTGTTTTGATTTTAATCCCATGTTATTTAAATGGGCCAAAATCGTACTTTGAGGGCTTGCCAAGGGTTTATGGTTCAACTCACCGACTTGAGACCCTCAAAAGGCACATCTACACGTTAAGGGCTTTCAAACAACATAAAGAACATTAAAATTGAGCCAGTGGTTTGGGCTGTAGGTCCGTCAACATTCAAGGAGAAGGAGAAGGAGGAGAAGGAGAACACGGAAAATTTGTGAATTTTCAAACTAGTTTTTTTTGGCTCAAACACAACAGTTTTTTAAATTCTTTTTTTTATTTTGTTGAGGATGAGTGCCCCTATCCAATAGATGAACAATTATTTTAATAGCTTTTGTTTCTTCAGAGCTATAGACGAGTGAAAAAGCCACTTTGTCACGTCAAGTATATATACACTGCAGCAGCTGTGTACCGCTGGGGGACTTGGCGGGGCGGAACGCTGCCGCGTTCCTTAATATATTTAACTATTTATTTATCTTTTACCTCAGCAAATTGAAGCAATTTATTGTAAATCCCGATATGACAAATATTAAGACATTATCAGATGAAAATAACAAATGTTAAATCATAAATATAATAATATAAACATAAAATTTAAAACATCCGAAAAATTTTGGATACTCAAATAAAATGACCTATGTTTTATATAAATTTTATGGAGGAACAAAAATTGTACTAATTTTATACAATACAAATTCTTAGACAAACCTAACAGTGTTTGATGGAACCATTTTTATTTTGATATTATCAGCTGAAATAAAAGGGTTCAAAATTGCTAAAATGAATATAAAACATAAGATTCGATTGCAATTTAAATTTATATGGATATGTTAAGCTATAAGTTATATTTTTACTTAGTAATAATGAATTAAAATGTCTCAACAGCTACTTTTTACAAGTTTTGCATGTTTTCGGCAATTAGTAGTAAAAAAATTAAAAAAATAAATATAATGTTGAGGGTAATGAAATTGTTCGGAATTTAATGGCGAATCCGAATATAACATTCTTTTTGCTAACAAAAAAACAATAAACGAGCAAATGAGATAATCCCGACATGATGTCAACTTAACCCTGCCCCCTAGCAGGGTTAAGTTGAAGGCCAAAACCATTGTTATTTACGCCCGAGATTATCCAGTTTGCGCTAGACCATGACTCGTGAACCCGACATTTGGCCCGGGGTTTTCTCTAATTGAACCCGTGAAGCCGACTTTTTGCGCTCGGGTTTATCCCTGTCATAATTGGGTGAAGTTTATCTGTCTGCGCCCGAGCGCGGGTAACCTCGTACTCGTGAAGCCGATTTCTAAGCCGCGGCGCAAAAAACTGGCTATAACTGGATTTTGCGCTCGAACTAAGGATAACCCGTGACTCGTGAACCGCCTCTTAATGCTATTGAATACTATCACAGAATCAAATTGTTTTGTTGAAACCTTGAAACAGATGTTAAGTTTCTTCCATTTAAATATAAGTACACATAAGGTTAACACAGGGAAACTCCAGAAGCACTGGGGTGGAGCCGTTTGGAGGGATAATGAAATTGATGGTGTATAAACCTATTCCATGAAATTTTACACGTATGTACCAAGTTTCGTGGCCATTGGTCCAGCGGTGTCCGAGATTATCACTGCCAAATATACAAACATACAAACAAACCAACATCCTCTTTTATATAATACTAGCTGAACCCGGCAGACGTTGTCTTGCCTTTGACTATTTTATAATTTAAGTACCGTAACGTTTAATTGTCTTATTGTATATGAAGTGCTTATAACTAAATTAAAATACGTACAACAACTAATGAAACACATATAGTAGAAAGGATAACCAATTCGTTATTATTGCTCTTATATTAATGCTAGGTTATGCTAGCTTAATTATTAATGGTTATTTTCATTCATGGTTATTAATGACAGTATTTTTAAGATGATCTCGTTCGCATGGCTCAATCACGTCCTGGTTGAAGTTACAAAAAAAAAAAAAACATTTTCAAACATTAAAACAAATAAAATACTCAAAGCTTTTACTTACTTTTAAATGATAAAATCAAACATAGACAGACATTAATTTACAACATCTGGTTAATATTATGGTTTGAATGAAATGAAACATGTGATTTTGCTTCTAAAAAGCATTGCTCATTGCTCACTTATCATTGATTATAAAAACATCATTATATACAGGGTGATTTGTACTCAGTGTGACAAAATTTTTTTGGTGTAAGTACAAAGTAAATGAAGTGTGATGATGCATATCAAATGTTCCAAGTCTAAAAATTAGCTCCCAAAAAATTATTTTATGTTTTTCAAAAATAACCATGTTTTTAAACCTAATACAGCGATTTCTCAATTACCTGTATATGGATTTGAGTAGATAATGTAATTTTCGTGTTCTACATTAAATTTTGAACAAGAATAATAGAAAATGACGGAGGATCAGTCGTAAAAACTCCATTGTAAATAGATTCAAAGATACAAATTAAGATGTTTGAGAAAAAATTTTAAAAACAATGGTCTATTGCATTTTTCACACCCTGTATACAAGAAAGTGTCGGAATATGTTAAAAACTGCGCCATTTTATAAGCTTTCCAACCATATGCTACACCATTGAGCTTTATGTCTGATTATGTACGCTTTAGTGGTTTGAAGACTATAAAGCATGGTGTCTTTAACATTTAAAACCTAGAAAGTCGGCATGTATTAAGCAAAAGTTGTATTTTTGATTCAGCTTGAGCAGTAAAAACAGTAAAAAAGTTCCCTGTTTTCTGGTATTCAAACCACTAAAACAAACAAAAAAATATCTAAACCTCAATAGTGTAGCATATGGTTGGAAAGCTTATAAAATGGCGCAGTTTTTAACATATTCCGACACTTTCTTGTATACAGGGTGTGAAAAATGCAATAGACCATTGTTTTTAAAATTGTTATCAAATATCTTAGTTTTTATCTTTGAATCTATTTACAATGGAGTTTTTACAACTGATCCTCCGTCATTTTTCATTATTCTTGTTCAAAATTTAATGTAGAACACGAAAATTACATTATCTACTCAAATCCATATACAGGTAATTGAGAAATTGCTGTATTAATTTTAAAAGCGTGGTTATTTTTGAAAAACATAAAATAATTTTTTGGGAGCTAATTTTGAGACTTGGAACATTTGATATGCATCATCACACTTCATTTACTTTGTACTTCCATCAAAAAAATTTTGTCACACTGAGTACAAATCACCCGTAGTTTTTTATTGTTGTTTTTAAATTGAAATATTTGTATATCAGCTTAAAATTATGAAATTTAACGGCATTCAAAAAATGTTTATGTCAAGGGTAGGTTAAGTTTTAAGAGGAACTTTGTTGAAAATATACATGTAATGACCATGAAACGCTAGTAAAAAGTTATTCATTATTAGAATAGAATGTGAAATCTACAGGAAGTGTCAAAAGTTATAATATAGATAGGTAGTAGTTACCTCTGGATTAGAAAACATCATAACTAATCTATTGGTAGTAATATGAAATTATGATTTAAAAGTTTGTGAATAGGCAAATGGTGTGAACAATAATTATCTTTTAAAATGGCAAAAATATAGCCTACAATTCAATTAATTATATCTCCTTGAGAAAAGTTTAAATTTTTAAGGTGCCCTACTCTAAACACATGTTAAGTGTTCAAAAATGTTAAAATGATTCAAGTAAATGTGAACTTTTTAATTTCACTATTTTTTACACCAAAACCTTTCAATACAATCATTTACATTAACAAAATTTTAAATAATTAATTAGGGTTAGATACAGCAACAGATATACAATCTTACTTATTTCATAAAATCAATAATCAATGAACCATAAAATATAAGAATAAATAAACATGTCACATGATTGTAGAGAATATTAGGCTATATGCCTATTTATAAACCAGCTGTGGAATTGTGAATTAATGTGGTTTGACAGTTCAGCTTGTTTACATTTGGCCCATTTGGGTGGTATAAATAGTAAATTGCAAACATTGTATGTGTTCTCATGGCAGCCATGTAGACCAATCAATATTTACTTTTAAAATCCTCACCTTTTAAAGCCAAAGGGGCAAAGCCCACGGTCAGTATCGAAGTTTGAATAGTCCTATAATGGTCCTTGGTATGGTAGCTATATTTTTGTAAAATTTAAGCCCAGTCAGTTCAGAAGTTTATGCACCTATTATTAGTAACACACATACAGACAGACACCACTAGACTTTTATATAATAGTATAGATATATATGAATAAATAATAAATGTCAAGCAAATTGGAGAAAGCGCTTCCTGAAACCTTTTATTTTGTAACAAATTTGTGTTAAAAGACTGAAATCTATACAGCTGCTATTCATTTTAAAACAGCCTTGCCTATATGGATCTTAAACATAGCAGTGAAACCCTAATGAATGTTCAGTGGTGATACACTTTTATATCACTGTTCTAATAGTTCATATTGTTTTAGCTCCTTGGAAATGGTGCCTCAAGTTGAACAACTCATCCTAGACAAATTGACTTTGGAATGTTTGCTAGAAGATGATTAGATGAGCTATCTATTGTACCTCTTACACATTGCTTTATATTTATTATTTCAAAATAAAAAAGTTTGTTATCTGGTTTTTCTTAATCTTTTTACTTTCTCCCCTTTTAGGCTACGTCATCAGGGCTACAGATATACAAGGGCTGGCTCACTCCTTTGATGTTAGCGGTCGCCGCCTGATCCTACTTCCCCTCTCCCGCCCCTCCTCAGTGACGTAGGGCTGGTACATCGGCGCGAGCGGCGACGGTAGCCTAGCACGGCAGTGCATATGTCGCCCAGCATCTACGTGCATATTAATAATTGTGTTTATAATAATGTAGTTTTATAATGTGATTTTTAAAGTGGATTTCGTTAACCCTCCAACTGGCAATGGGTGAACTGTGAAGTGGCAAGACATTTTTGGCGATTTTGCAGTCATATATTTGAAATTTCATATAAACTAAACCAACAGACCAAACCTATAGGCCCATATACTTGAAGTTTTCGTAATGAAATTAAGAATTTGAAAATGACAACAAAATAAATATTTTGAATATTGTAGGGAATATTGACATTGACATTTATTAAGTAAAAAAAAAAAAAATGTTTTTTTATTTCTAAATTTGAAACTAAAACTTTGCTGCATAAACCAAATATGTTTCCTGTAAACTTTAAGATAAACAAATTGTTTGGAATTTATTTTCCTACATGGAAATGTAAAAAGATTCCAATTAGGCCTACCATTTATTTGTACAAAGTTATGTTCCAAAAACAATAAAATTACAAGTTTCACGATTTTGCACAACAAATTTCAAACAAAAGGCAAATAAATGTATTATCAAGAGATAAAGTAAAAGTATACATTTTTGTAAAGACAATAATATTGGAGATCGAAGGAAGTAAGAGTTGTTCATGGAAAATGATCGTTTGAATAAAGATTTATGACTTTTAATAAATGTTTATATTTTTCTATAAAAACATTTTTTATTATTGACACATATGTATATTATTTTTCAACACATAAAACCCACATACCAACTATATAAAATGAAAGTAAACTTATTCCTCTACATGAATATTAATATACGGTTATTAGGGCAAATATAAATAAATAAATATTTTATAGGTTTTTTCTATAAAATGCTTCTGTGTGCCTTTTTCATGTGGCGATCGGTTAGTTTATTATGACGGACAAATGTATCAAAAACGGGCTGAATGTAATGTCCCAGACCACAAATTTAGTAAGTATATCCACATAAAACAGTCTACAAACTAAATATGTACAAATTTACAACTAATAAATATGATAAATATGATGATAAAATCACACCCGCGACATTCGTTGTTGGTAAACAGTCAATAAAGATCACAAAAGCTGGCTAAAATAGTGTCTCAAGTTTATAAAAGTAATGTCGCATTTCAGACAAGGAAGTAGAATAAATAATATCCAAACTAACCATTTACAAATTTACAACCTATAATCATGATGTAAACTGATAAAGTAAAATCACACCAAAACTCGAATTGTTTTGTTGAACTAGTTGGTCAACAGAGATTGAGGTTAGTTAGTCAGACATTTTTATTTTAATGTATTGAAATATGTATAATAAAATGCAATAGATAAATTTAAATTATTTTCCTTCCTGCAAAAGTTACAAAATACTCAGTACCTATAATTTATGTGTATACAACTTCAATGTATTTTATATAACCGCAATGAATTCTTAAAGTTGGGATGAATAAATAATAAATAAATAAAACAGTTATTACACCATAACTTAATGTATTGGATCAATAAGTACAGTATTCTTAACCATCGCTTTACAGTCCACTCCCATCCTTAAATATCTACTAAACTTTTCTTACTTTCTTTTTTTATTAGAATTGGTATTATTCGTAATCCTATTTGAAAATCGATTACTTTTATTAAATACAGTAATACGTAATACAAAATTTGCAACTTAGTGCTTATTCGACACTAGATGTGCGGCAATACCAGCGCTCACATAGGCAAAGCTATACGGTACCGGGAGCCCGAGGTACCACTGTGACGTCACAGCGGCGGAGTGGTGGGGAGCCACCTGGCATCACTTTCTGAGCTCGTGTGGCCTAGCCCTTGTATATCTGTAGCCCTGCTACGTCATATAGTATAGATGCAGAAAGTATTGATTAAAAAAATTTTACATTTACAGTTTTGGGCGGAAATATCCATTTTGGATTCCCTGAACCCGTAAAAGTGGTTTTCAAAGTGATGTCTGTGTGTGTGTGTGTCGATGGGTACCGATACACCAATTTGAATGAAATTTGATATTTGGGTATTAATAAATGATATATCTAGGCACTTTTTCCTTTTGTTTAAAACTTTTATGTTTAACTAACTATGATTTTCTCATAAAATAACAGAAAAATCAAAATTTCACAAAAAAAACGGCTTCGATTAAAATTTAAAATATTTATATTTTATAGTACTTTTAACTCTGAACAAAGTGGCACAACCCTGTAACATTTACTGTATAAAAGTTATAGCAATGATTGTGATTTTCCCCATAGATAAATAGTTTTCCTCTGGCATTTTTCCATAATTGTGGATGTGTAATTTTAGTGTCAAGTGAACGGGAAAAATGTGTTAAGATTCCCGATATCTTTTATTTTGTAACAAATTTGTGTTATTGATGATAGGATTAGGTAGTATTAAAATGGCTATTTAAGACAAAAAGGAACTATTTATTGAAGGTAAAACATCATGTAACCGGGGCGAGGGGAAGTCTGGTCGAAGTGTTCCAAACTTGACAAGATAGTCACGTGTTGTCTCTCTCACTGTCACCCCTGGGACCTGGAAAATATCAGTCTTGCTTACATTGTTTGTAATGTAACAAACAAATTCGTGGTTAATCCGCAAAATACTATTGAATAGGAAAGGGTATTAAAATACGAGACAGTATTAAATAATGGTCATTAACATATCCATATTGCATTAAAACATAATTGAATGTTGTATTTGACAGGAATCACAATGAATAACATACGTATTTTTTAAAACAATGACACGTCAATACATAGAAGATCTACAGTCTTATAGATTTTAAAAAATTTATAAGACAAAATATCGTGTATTAATTTTAATTAATTTGAAAATAATATGTATAGTAACAGTTTCCTGTTTTAAACAAAGAAATATCTCTTTTTGACTCTACTTTCATGTTTTTTAACACAATTTTGTCTGCACTTAGAGCATTGTAATGCAATCAGGGTAAGACGGGGAGGGGGGGGGGCGCTGGTCTAGTGGTAAGAGTGTGGGACTTTGCTCTCCTGAGTTCGAATTCTGCCAATAACGTATGGATTTTAGGTAAAAAGTGATCATGCCAAATTCTCTAGGCCTAGCCTGAAGTAATTTGCGAAACCATCCCGGACAAAAAAGTAAGGTTTACATACCCCAGCTACCACTGAGCTGACTGAGATCTAGATACTGATGAGGAGACGCTGCCTCTAGTAGCTCAGTCAATTGTCGTACTAGAGAGGCAAACGTCGGCCGATCACTTGGCTTCTCCTTCCAGCAGGATAGCATGATGGCATACCTGTAGGTAAATGAAATGAATCTGTAAGATAAAAAAAGTACTGCACTTCCTTTAGTCAGGACAATGTATATAAAGTTTTATGGTTTAAGGACAAACCATGATGGGTCCTTTTCAAACCATTGAAAAGCTCTCAAGATATATGGTTGCCCACGTTACTAGAAAAACAATAAAATCCCCATTATTTCTGGTTGTGAAACATCAAATAGATCTTTTCAGCAATGGGCAGCATGGGTAAGTTTTTTAGCTAATTTAAACATTGTCTTGGTGCAAGCAGGGAAGCAGGCCTACTTTAGTTTTGTATAGCAACAAAAAATCCCGTTCTCTTCTCTATTATTATTCATTTCATTTTTATCTGCCCCTTATAGTTTAAAATATATGCTCCAAACTAAGACAAGTGACAGTTGTGAAACAATGGTCAACTCACAGCTCATTGCTGCATGTCGGTGGCTGTTCCATGCGAAAGCCGTGTTTCAGCAATCGGAACATGTGATTGGTCGGAGTGGAAGGATAAGGGTTGCCTCCCAGAGTCACTATCTCCCACAGTAATACCCCAAACGACCAACTGCAAACATACAGACGCACACAAAATGTTAAATAACTCTTTGTTTGGATTAAGTAAATTCCGATTGAATTCAACTGAAAGACAATAAAGGTTTGAACAAAATTCACTGTAAGATAAATTTTTCCTACAAAACTTTATTAATTAGGGTTTTTTGTTTTATTCCAACTTTTCAATTTTTTTTATACGTGTTAGATTTACAATCATTTATAATCATTAGTGTACAAATTCACTGCCAACCAACAGGTATTGCGTTGTTCATTCTGGAAAAGGATTTAGTTTAACTTGACACAGCACAATCAATAATACATTATAATATAAATTGTAAAGAAAAGCTAGCTAACAACCAGCCACAGGGTCGCTTTACCAAAATCAGAATACAAAATATTAAGGACGGAAAATGAGGTTCAACCAATCAATATTGGTTTCCTCTTTGCCAATCACTTTTACGTACTTTAGCGCCACTTACTATACATAAGTATTACAATTCCTACTTTCCTATCTTATTTTCATGCAGCATTTAATCTTATTTGGGATTAGTTATGGATAAATTTGCAAAGAAATCTGTAAAACACAGATTTCCTTAAGTAAAATCCATCAGTCTGCTAGGGTAGATATTCTCCGAGCTCTAGTGGCCACACAAAGAAATCAGAAAAGAACTAAGTGAATTTTCCTATTGGACTAAATGGCAAATCAATACTGTAAAAGTAAAAAATTATCTGCTAGATTTTTTGGACAGCCTATTATTTGCTAATTGTTTGAAGTGCCTAGGGTGATAGTGAGGTTTTAAATTGACCCAACCAATCAAACATACATACACGTCACTCTGGGTGGTGTATATCTGATGTAGTAGTGACTCTAACGCCATCCACTTGACTGGAAGTTTCTCTGAACTCTTCTTGCAGTAAATGTTCTGCTCGTAAACGTCTCTGCTGAGTCCAAAGTCAGAGATCTTGACGGACTGGTCATGGCAGACCAAGACATTGCGAGCTGCCAGATCTCTGTGGACAACTCTGTTGCTGGCCAGGTACTCCTGTGATTATCCATAGCTCAATGAAAACGTTAATTAAAGTATTGTGTTACCTTACAATATCCTTGGGTGTCTGGCTAAAACTACATGTTTTGTGGCGACTGCCACATCATCAAAGCAAAATGGCCGACACTTAACATTTCACTGTGAAAGTGCTCCTCATATTAGTGCAGTTATTAGTAGGTAAACCCAACAAAATACTTACTAAATACTCACCACCACAACCTCAACAGCAACTGTAAGTGTTACAAATATAATATAAGACAAATACAAGAGCTAAAGCAAGAATCCATTGATAAATTAAAAACACAGAGTTGACCTACTTTAAAAGGCAGCTACACATGAAGCTCGTATCCAATTTCAAGAATATACCACTGTGAGAGCAACTGAAGCACACACCTCTATATAAATTACAAATACTGTAGTTTAATTAATTAAGTCAGACAAACAGCTCATCTACAGTAATAATACTAAGAAAACAAACAGTTGACTGTGACGTCACAAATAATGCCAACACATGAGTGACTAAACACGTCACTGTTATCCAACACCATCAAGACAACCTCACCACAGGTGCTACACCATATGTGACAAGGCAGCTGACCCAGACACCGCGTCAGCAGTGCATACGCTACGACAACACCTTTCAGCTCAGGGCCGGGGATAGTAGCTAGTAAGGGCTAGACCACTCTTTTGATGTTTGGCAGAAGCCGCCGCGCCAGGTAGTGGGGGGGTCGGCGGCCGCGTGACGTCACGTGGTTGCCTCACACAGCGCTTCTGCAATGAACCCCTTGTTTGTTTTCATTCATTGCGCTAAGTATGTAGATAAGTTTTAATGTTACCTGTGGTTTGAAGTGTTCTGAAGTCAAATAATATGTGACTGATAGTTTGTTTATGATTTTTATCTGTTTCCTATGGAATTATTGTTTGTAAAATCCCGGATAATGTGGTACTGGCACAGAGATGAATCGCGATGGCATACCCGATGTGATCAATTGAAAAGACTGTAAAAGTAAAACAGAATTAAATTAAAAAGTACATACTGAAGTAGTAATCTTAAAATCGCAACTGAAATTAGCTAGACGAAAAAATAAAGTTTTAGCTAGCATAAAACGTAAGAATATCTTGCAGCTCTAAAAAGCTAAAGAGCACGATTGAAATTGTAGGTGTTTAGAAAGTATGTGTTTTGAACAAAAACTTTAAAAAACAAGTAGCTATAACAAAGTGGGCTGAGAAAAATATGACTTCTATGTAAATACAAAACGAATAATTAATGATTAATAATTTTTAATAAGATAGTAAATTATAATCTTATAGTTACCACTATAAGATTATAATTTACCATCTTATTAAAAATTAGTGTTTTAATACCTGAATGCGTATCTTAAAAAAGATCCTATGTATCATAATATCACAATAAATTATCATCCCATTCATATAGAACATTTTTGTGTGTTATTTTCATAATGCATTCATTCTGAAGTAAACATAAAATACAAGAAAATACTTCCTTTGATTTTGTTTATAACAAAACAGGTCAGTATGTTTTTTATATATTTATGTTATCCAGCTACAATTTATTGATTTTCAAAATACACTCTTAATCTTTTATTTAATTCATATTTGCAGATAGAGCCGTCTTGAAATACCTGAGCTTGACTAATACAAAAGTTTACTTTATTGAAATTATTTTATTCTTTTTAGAGCATTTGAATTTGGTTGTATTTTTTTTACAAGAATAAATTATTTTATGATTTTCATTGACTGTATAATTTGTTATATATTAATTATTTGAGGTTTTTCGATAAGCAAATTTTGTTTGAAACAATCAAAAGTGTCACAGAACAATCATTAGTTTTAAAACTGCTTGAGTTTTACATTTTTACAAAAGTTTTATTTTAAATTTTAAAAAGTTTAAGAAAATGATAGGAAATTCTAATTCAATATTTATATCGCCACCCAAATATTTTTTTATTATTTTAACCTAATTTTAGTAAGCTTGCCTTAAAAATTGTAAAAATAAATAAACTTGAATATAATTTTGAATATAAATATTACTACTGTATTGAGAAAGGCTAAATATATGTTTTTTTTTATTTCGAGAAACCCTTAAGGAACACAAATAAATTGTTTATTTAGTTAAATATTTTATATTCATTTAAAAAACATAATTAAAGTAACCACATGTTCAAAGTCTAGGACAATTCTTCGTACTTTGATCTTCAATAATAAATAGTAAATAATAATATTCATATGAACAAGTTACACCACTCCATAGACAATTTAATTTCCTTTCATGAATGCCAGAGGTTAACAACATTGGTCTTTATATTTAGCGGGAATTTTAATTCGAAACAGGACGCGCGCGCTACCGAGCATTGCCATCATACTACAGTACAGGCGCGGCTGACAACCACGTGACGTCACAGGGTGAATCGAGCGGGATGCAGGTACACCGGCGGAGTGGTCTAGCCCTTACTAGCTACTATCTCCGGCCCTGTTTCAGCTGACTGCAGTACAAATAACACTGTATTGTTTCTATCTGACTGACAAGGAGTTGATTATCTATAAATCAAACACATTTATACTCAAAATTTGACCTTTTTTATTTTATATGAAAATGACCACCATCTACTGACCTAAGCAGCCTGCCAAAGCTTTAATAAAAAACAGTATTTCTATCAATCAGACCACCATCTACTGACAGAAGCAACCAGCCAAAGCTTGCCTAAAAAACTGTCCAATTTTTACTACACAATATTTTCAATTTTCAACAGAAGCAAACAGCCAAAGCTTGCCTAAAAAACTGTTTCCACAATATTTTTAATTTTCAACAGAAGCAACCAGCCAAAGCTTGCCTAAAAAACTGCCCCATTTTTTATCACACAATATTTTCAATTTTCAACAGAAGCAACCAGCCAAAGCTTGCCTAAAAAACTGTCCAATTTTTATCACGAAATTTTCTCAATTTTCAACAGAAGCAGCCAGCCAAAGCTTGCCTAAAAAACTGCCCAATTTTTAGGCGCTGTCCAGAAAAACCAAACTATGTCTAAGACTCCATGTGGTGCATGTAACCTCTTGGAGTCAAGTACTCAGCAATAGTTTGCACAGGTCCTTGCAGAAAGTGGTTCCATTCTAAATGTACTGGAATGTCAACAAGTGATTTCAGAAAAATCATTAAAGCTGGTTACAAATCATGGAGCTGCAAAGAATGTAAACTTCAAAGGGACTCAGTCCCTTTTCTGCCTACATGCACAACCCCCTTAATCAATCAAAAGATTGAAACAACCTCTGAATGTCAAGTCAAAACCAGCTCAGAAGACCTTCAAGCAAAAATAAAACAATTTCAAGCTCAAGAACAGGAAGACTTAGAGACATCCCTAACTTTAGCTGCCGAAGTTGGTAATGTCCTACTTACAGAAAACAATAAGTTAAAACAAGACCTACATGATTTGACTATAGAAAATACTAAACTAACCCATCAGATTTTCAACAAAAATAATTCTCTTGAAATGAGTTATGAAGCAAAAATCGAGGAACTAGAACATGAGAAGGAATCTTTATTAAATCAAATAACATCGATAACAGAAACCTTAAATAAAGCTGAGCAACAGCTAATCAAAGAGAGACAACTCAGAGCTGAACTAACAACAATGTTTGAAGATCAAGACAAGGACAAAGATCAAGTAATTTGTAATCTAGAAAAAGAAATAAAGAACCTACAACAAACTATTAAGAACCCAACAAAATATAATGTTTCTGGAAATTATCAAGCAAAAAACACTTTAACATTCAAAAACTCCGAATCTCAAACCCACAGCTCTGAGCTCCCAACACAAAACAGCTCATTGTCCCTGCTACTTGAGCTAGCGAAGCTGAAGACCTGGCAAGAAGAAACAGAAAACACTTTAACAGCAATTAAAAGTAAAATATTTCAGCAAGAGAATGGCAAGAATACAAACTTCCCCAGTGATACACAACCCACACCGTCTTGTGAAAGCCCGAAAACCGATGCAAACGGAAGAATAAGGAAACAGCTAAGGGTAATGAATAGGAATATTTTTAGTGTGTCACTCCAGATGAAAAAAAAGTAAAGAAAAGGACATAAACATAAACAATACAAAATCGAAATTAAATACTCTCCAGAGCAGTTTAAAGTCTACTCCTTGCCCTAAGTCCACTCAATGTGCACAACAAGAATCTCCCATCATTGATAAACTTCCTGCTAACAGACAGACATTTAAAGTACAAAAAGGACCTCCCTGTACCGCTAAAAAACTACAACCAAATGAATCACTTGAAGACTTTTTAAACCAACACATGGAGTACATAAATGGGATCTCACACCATAAGCTACCACAATGTAAACAACATAACCAATCAATACTGAAAGACTCAAATCAGACCCTAAACCATTTTTTAGGTGTGAAGAAACAAACAGACGACAAAACATAGAATCAACTCCCCCCCTGAATGACAACAACCAAAACACAAACCCCAAAGCACAAAGAAGAGATAATCAGGGACATTTAGTTATTACACAAAATAAAACAACCTCCATCACAATTTTTCACCAAAATGTTCAAGGTCTTAGGAAAAAGATTGAAAGAATAAATCATCTAATGAGTGAACTCAAACCCACTATCTTGGTGATTACTGAACATGGACTCAGCTCAGATATGTTATTACTCACTAAGATTAGTGGGTACAACCTAGTCACATATTCCTGCAGGGAAGAGCATAGAATGGGAGGAGTTGCAATCTATATCCAGGAAACTGCTGCTATCAAGGCAGAAGAAATAGAAATCTCCAACCAAAGTTTAGAGTTAGTTTTTGAAGCAGCATTAGTGAAAATAAGGATAAAGAACAAAAACTTCTACTTACTTGGTATGTATAGACCACCAGGGGGACAAGCTAGGTTAGCCATTGACATCCTATCAGAAGTTCTGGAGTCACTTCAAGCTGACACCAAGACCGTTGTATTAATGGGCGATATCAATATAGACAGGCTAACTGAAAATGCCAGTAGTAACTATCTTGAAGAGGAACTGTCAACTTTTGGAGTTAGAAGACTACCACTCCCAGCGACAAGAATCACTAACCACTCAAGAACCTCTATAGACTGTATCTGTACGAATACACATGATAATGCTATAGATTTTGCTATAATTAACGCTGGAATAGCAGATCACACAGGCCAAACATGTACCCTCAAAATACAGAGTGAAGTTACTGCTAAAACGGATATGTCACAAAAAAGAATTTTTTCAATAAAAAACCTGGATAGCATGAAAGACGAACTCTCCAAAGAAAACTGGATAAAGGTGCACAATGCCCCTGATGCTGAAGAGGCATACTCTGCATTCCAAAGGACTGTAAGGCTCATACTGGACCATGCCTGCCCTATCAAAAAAATAAGAGCTAAGCAGAAAGGACAGAAAATTAAGGTTCAGTATGATGAAGAAGTCAAAATACTAAAAGAAGATTTTCTAGATGCCTTACACTGATACGAGCTTACCGGAAATGTAAATGATAAAACAACAATGTCGGAAAAAAAGAAAACATATGATTTAAAGCTCAGGTCCCTCAAGCAACAAGCCACTGCAGAATACATCACAAGTGCTGATAATAAATCCAAAGCTGTCTGGGAGATCATCAACGAAGAAAAACAATGTAAACAGAAGGAAGAACCAAATCTGCAGCTGGAAATAGAGGGGAAAATATTAGATAACCCTACTGACATTGCTGAACACCTAAACCAATATTTTGCAGAAATAGCAGACTCCACTTTAGAGAAAAACAGAAGCCAATTCAAAAACAAAAAAATTACACATCCACTATTTCTACCACAAAGCAATGTCCAGCCACTAATTTTAACTCCTACAACCATTAAAGAAGTCTTAGCAACAATAGCCTCACTGAAATCAAAGCTGTCATGTGGAGTAGATGAAGTGCCATCAAAAGTTGTAAAACACTGTGCCGAACAACTGGCAGCCCCACTTGTCAGCATAATAAACAAATCTTTTAGCCTTGGACAATTTCCCTCCGCCCTAAAAATAGCAAAAATGTACCCAAAGCACAAAAAAGGCTCACGCACTAAACAAGAAAACTACCGCCCTATCTCATTAATATCAACCTTTTCAAAAGTAATAGAAAAGGTCGCTCTGTCAAGAATGATGAGTCACTTGAAAAGCAATGATCTCATCACTAAAAACCAACATGGTTTTCTCAAAGGGAGGTCCACCACCACAGCTCTAACTAGTTTAATCGAACAAATCATTGACCATCTAGAAGCACGCAGATATGTATCAACAGTCTTACTTGACTACAGCAAAGCTTTTGACTGCCTGGGCCATAATCTCATCCTAAGGAAACTCACAGCCCTAGGAATAGAGGGAATGGCCAAAGACTGGGTGGCAAGCTATTTGAAAAGACGTACACAAATTGTTGAAATCCAGCAAAACACAAATGGGAGAAAATCTGTACATAGGTCCACACAACTTTCGATTAACAGGGGAGTGCCCCAGGGCTCAGTCATGGGCCCATTTTTGTTCATCCTTTTCACCAATGATTTTCCAGATTTTATTAGGAATGACAACTGTGAAACAATAATGTACGCTGATGACACAACTCTTCTATTTATGCACGACTTACCACAAGAATTACACTCCAACATCTTATCCTCAACAGACAAAGCACTGCAGTACTGCCTTCAAAATGACCTGGCCATTAATCCATCAAAAACAACCCAGTTAAATTTCAGCCGAAAACATGAACAAATCCAAGAAATTCCTGAAATAACCGTTGAAAAAAACTCAAAACTGCTGGGCCTGACAATTGATGAAGACCTCTCCTGGAACGACCACATACACAACCTGACCAAAAAACTTGCATCTGGTGTCCATGTAATAAAGAGGATGAAATGGATAGGAGGTCTGGAAACAGCTAAGACAGCATACTATGCTGTAATAGAATCGCATATAAGGTATTGCTTAATATCTTGGGGAGGAACATCAGAAGCAAACCTCAACAAAGTGTTGGTACTCCAGAAAAAAGCTGTCAGGGCACTCTCCGGCCTTGAGCGCTTAGACAGCTGCAGGGAAGCATTTAAATCCCTTAAGCTCCTAACAGTGACAGCACTCTACATCCATGGAGTTGTCCTGTACACAAAAAAACTTAACCTTCCCAGAAATGAGAATTTTCACTCCTACCACACCAGAAAAGCAGCCGACTACAACCTTCCGATCCACCACACTACACAATACAGCAGAAAACCCTCTTATATTGGCCGAAAAATCATCAACTCTCTCCCAAACAACCTCAAGAACGCAACAGGAAACCAATTCAAACAGCAACTCTGGGACTGGCTTGTGGACCGACCGGTGTACTCCCTTAAGGAATTTTTTGACCAATTATGAACTTTCAACACAAAAGAAAATGTAAACTGTTAAAACAATCTAAATGTTAAACATTCTGAATTTTTCTGACGCCATTGTATTTCTTAAAGAAATCACAAATAAAGAAAATTGTCTATTGTCTATTGTCTATCAGGTTCATCCTTTTCTAAAATTTGTCATACACTTAAAATTGAAACACACGTCAGGACACATTTAACAAAAAGACGTCACATTGTTGTAACGTTGCTGCTGATTAACGTTGATTAAGATCATGTCTCAAACAAAACATTCAAAACCGTTAAATGTAGTTTCAACTGAAGTTCAAGACTTGTGTAGTTAATATTCAAACAGTTTTTTTCAAATCAATCACTCAATTATGAGGACACTATTCTGTCCTGTGTGTATTTTAGGCTGGATATGAATGCAATGGAGTGAGATGACCTGTGTTACTTTGTTTCTGACTAAGATCGGCTGTTACATTGTTTAGGATCATTTAAGCAGCAAACCTGCAGGCTAAGTAAAATTCCATCCAGAATTTATTTATTTTTTACGTAATCTATATGTTCAAACATTTCTTTAACAATTTAAGTCAAATATTCTTACCATGCCAACAGCAATCTGACGAGCGAATGATAGTAAATGTTCAGACAAGTTTTTTCTTTCATGTTCCTTATTTCCTGGAACAAACAAACAAATGAAAAAAATTTAATGAAAAATTGTTTATTTAGACAAGCAAAAGTTAGGGCCACCTTGCCCTTTCTTAGCTGCCCTGTCCTAGCTGGACGGCAAGAGAGGCGCAACCGACAAGAGCCACAGATACAAACACATGGTAAGTAATGGGGGTGTCCTAGCTGAGCAGCAACAGCGGTGTCGCTCCTGTCGGCGCGCTACAAGTGCTTCAAGATACAAACATGTTTGTATTTGGTAGCGCTACACCAGCGACGCGACAAAGCGGCACCCACCTCAGCTGCCTCAGCCCGTGCCGCGTCGCCTTGTCACGCCGCTCAGTTTGGACACACTTTTTGTTGCTGACAGCAGCGACCGTTGGTTGCGTCAGTCGCGTCGCTCTTGCCGTTCAGCTAGGACGGGGCCTTACACTTAACTTGTAGTAAAGTAAATAATTAAGAGAAGAAGACACTAAAACAGTATTGATATTATGATTGAAAACTTTTTTCATTCAAACTAATTAAAGGAGTTCACAAAATAAAAACTAAAACAGTTCCCATGAAAATAACAGTTTACTGGGTACCCTTAAGAGATATATATTGATGAACTTTCAAAGGAAGTCTTCATCAGGCCACAAGGGGTCCATTTTCATTCATTTAGAACACGTCAGTTATTCTATCAGACAATGATACATGAAAACACGTAGACACTAACATTTGTTACAAAGTAATATGTGCAAAGACTGTTGTGCGGCATATTGGTGTAGACTCTACTCTAGTTTCTAAATTAACGAAAATTTTGTGGCCTGATTTAGACTCCCTTTGAGAGTCTAAGGCCCGGTTCACACGAACGACAAACCTATAGCAAACTAGGCTTGGACTAGGTAAGCACGACTGGGTAGCGGACCACAGGATCATATGGAGCCACTCACACGAGCCTAGGACGGCGCCGATTAGCTAGTCGTGTTCGAGCTTGATGTCCCAAAACCTAGTCGGGCCCCGCTTCTCAGTCCGTTGTGGCAACTACCCAGTCGCCCAGTCGAACTGCGTGTAGCAGTACATGTAGCCTTATGGGAGCGATGGGGTAGTCGAGCCGCAGCTCGCATTCTTACCTTTGTTCTCATTGTGCACCAGTGATGGAACCGAGTGGTTTTGATATCAATATTTTCACCTAGACCGTGGACATGTCGCTCGTGTGATCCTGTGGTCCGCTACCCAGTCGTGCTTACCTAGTCCAAGACTAGTCTGCTAGGTAAGTCGTTCGTGTGAACCAGGCCTAAACCGATAGCCTAACTACCGGTGCACTCCGGCAGCAAAGGATACTTCAAGTGATTCGGAGATTAACAATACAAAAAAATTCTGTAAACTTTAAACAAATTTTAGTCCTCCTTAGTGAGCCTAAGTATTCAGATGAATATCTACATTTTGGTCTATTCACAAAATTAAGGCGGTTTCGAGGGGAAGTTTCCCCAGCACTTTTCTTTAGCTTTCTACCCCTAAAATTGACAATATTTTGTGAACAGAGTTTAAACCAACCAAACTGTAATAAGTTGGCAAATGTAAGGTTAGTCCTTAGCTTTACTAACAATGATTAAGATTTTTCTGTAAGTGGTTTTAAAAGTTTTTTAGACACCCAATAATTAACCTGGAATCTATTAACAAATTTTAGTGTATAAATTATATAAAAAATGTATTCTTGACAGAACAGATTTGAAAAACATACTTACTGATATGAAAGTCGTACAAGGCATTTGATACCACACCAGGAGAGCTGGTTCTGTCTAAGGTTATCGGTCTGGCATAACTCCCTGTAACAGTGGTACCGGTAAATGATTTGGTACAAGATGAGGAATTTCAAAGTGTTACTCAAATGTGCGTGCATAGTGATTAGTGATTATTATATGAATTGTTGGTTGACAAATATGAAGGTACAAAATAAACTCTTGCTTGTAAACTCTTGTATACCAATTAAACTTACTTTTGACACAAAACAATAGTTATTGTTACTACTGTAAACTACAATTTCTCAGACATATTGACTAGCCACACTCTATACATGAAAACCTAAGTGGTCAGTACAACAGTTTCTCGGATTTTAAGCTCACAAATTAGGATTTTTTACCTTTCATATGAAGAAAGTGTGATTTTTGAGGTTAGTGTGCTGTAAAATGTATTCTTTACAAACACCGTTATGAAGTGCAGTCCATTAAATGACTGCGGCACATTTTAAACTTCCAATAGCTACTTCCCAATATTTATCTTCTACTAAAATTTAAGTTGAGTCACACATAGCGCTCTGGCTTACCATTGCTTTGCACTGTAATGATATCAGCGTACTGAATATTCCCTACAGTGTACACTTCTGTAGGATTGTTCTCTGTCTGTTTCTTCCATTCCTAGTTTAAAAACAAACACTAGTTAAAATCAATAAAAATTAAAAATTTATAGGTACTTTCCTGTTAAAGGGAACATTCATTATTATCGATGATTTTTTCTCGATATATCGATATTTTTATTTTCCGATCCATTACAAATTGACAACTAACTGATCTTGTTTAGGCTAAAATATTCAAAGCTAACCTAACATAACCAACCAAACTTGCTGGACCATTTAAAAATGCCGTTTGGGTTTGATAATAGAAAAGGCAAGTTAAACACGGAATTTTTAAATGTTATAGCAGGTTTGGTTAGTTATGTTAGGTTATTTTTTTTAGAACAGTTTTATTTCATTATTGTTTGTTGATACTGAACAATATTTATCGCGTAGTTGTCAGCTGATATGTTTCAATTTGTTACTATCGATATATCGAGAAAAAATCATCGATAATAATGAATGTTCCCTTTAACAAGAAAGTACCAATGTATATAAATTCATTGCATAAATATTCATTGGTTATTTAATTTTGTTCAGGATTTGAACATGACTTGCTTATAAAGATTATATGAGTTTCCCTTTTGTCTTAGCTTGAATCAGACTGGTTGATTTATTGTGTGTCTTTGTACTTTGGTTTATTTTCACTACATACTAAAATGGGTATTTCTTCATTAGAGAGTTTGAGATGATACACTGTTCCATATAGTTTTGGTTGAAAAAATTAAAAAAAATATATATTTAACTATGTAATATGTCTTCAAAATCTCAATCAAATCTACTTGGTAGAGGGATTATGTTTAAATATTTTTCAACAACCTCCTTATTTCTGAAAAACGATGAATATACTGGTTATAAACTTGTTTATTCCCTCATAATTTTTATTCCCCAAAAGTGTTACTCCTAAATAATTTTACTCATCCTACATTCATAGAGTAGAGTAACAATAATGGCCATTCATCAACACAAATTTCTTTATTTAAATCTCAACAAAATCATCAGCACTGATGCAGTTTTTATTTTCCGCCAAGCCCAAAGAAAAATACTGAATTACTTGTCTCAGATAATTCTGAAGGTCTCCCAGGGCGCAGAACTCCACAATGAGCAGCAGACGACAAGACTGGGTGCAGCAGCCAATCAGAGAGACAATATGTTTGTGTCTTCCCACAGTCTTCATCACTGCTATCTCCTTCTGGAACTGACGGCACTCCTCTGCTGTCGGGTTGGCTAGGGACATAGACAAAAGAATTAAATATAGACAGACAGCAGCGCTACAGTTAGCTTATATTCTGGCAACCACGGCTAGGAGTGTGCTAGTTCGGCGCACACCGCTGCAGGGTCAAGCGCTAGCAAGCGTTGCCATGACAAGTTGGTATTTGGAGCCAGGGTTGCCAACTTCTAGAGAATTCCCCTGAATCCGGTGAGTAGGTAGGAGTTTGTCCCATTATTTTTTTTGTGTTTTAAAATATTCTGTAGATAAAAAAGGGGATTTTCTGTTAAAATTACGAAATTTCAGAATTTTGTACTTTACCCATATTGAAAAGTTGTTCTGTTACATAGGTAGCATTTTGTTTGGAAGTGTGGTTAGTGTTCGTAGCAGACGGTGAATCGACGACAGCAGCAAATCAACTAACACTGAGCACGATCTTACGGGCACATCTTTGATCCTTCTTTCAGTCTCTATTTAATTATTTTGTCTATGCTAAGACCAAGTAAAAACTGTTTTAATTCAAATTCTTAAACATGCTTTAGAGCGTTTTCAATTTAAAACCTTTTTGATGCAAAAAAAGTCAGTGATAATCTCTCATATAACACTTTTTGTTTAAAATTAGATGTTTAGATCTGAATACTTGAGCCATTCATCAGCACATTTTTGTTTTAATTACTGTTAGTAATTACTTGAATCCATGAATGTAATTTCAATTATCAACCAACTTATAGTCTACACACAAATGCAAACTGAAAATTCCAAAAAAATATGTTAAGTTTAACTAATCATAACTCATTGGGAATCAAATTGTTCTACAAACTGCCCTCAGTACTGTACGGTAAAATGTTTGTATATCACCGTTATGTGTATTAAATAACGTCATTTTTGTAACCTGTATCAAATAACAAGAACATTGAGCCCAAGCACGAAATAATTGCGATGATATTAAGAAGCATACCACGACACCAAAACTGTCTATTATTTTAAAACCAAATGTATACTTAATATCGTCGTAATTATTTTGTGTTTGGGCTCAATGTTCTTGTTATTTTACGCAGGTTACAAAACAGGGGTTATTTAATACACTTTATGGTGAAAAAATAAAATTCTTCCAACTATGCATTGAGCCTAGTGGGTGACTCATGGTCAAAACCCAGAGCAGTCGAGCGAGGGCTAATATAGGGGCTGGGACACCACCCGACCGTCCTAATCCCTCAGCCGCCACGAATCTTTGCGGAAGGTATAAGCCATCTTAAAATATGGAGATGGCCTTTAATAATAAACACAATCTAAACATCACAGTACTGACCAGATCACATCTGATAAAGTTATAAATTAGCTGAAACTGTGACATCACGGCTCTTTAAGGCCATCTCACCAGAGACTAAACCAAGATAAGTAAAATATCACTGTTTCATACCTCGTAACATTTTGACTGCTACTTCCAGAGGAGCCCCTGAAGGTCTGCTGAGCAAGCCTTTATGTACAACACCGAAAGCACCTTCTCCAATCATGTCACAGATCAGCAAACTGTCCTTGGGAATCTCATATTCGTCCCCGTCAAAAGGTGGAACATCGCAACTATCTTCACTGCTTCTTGATGTCTTTTTCATTGGCTGAAATGTATCAATTTGGTATAAATTGACTCTGGGAAGATAAACATTTCCTTGCTGTTACTAGTTATGCTTTGTGGTTTGCTTTAATTCAGTGTAAACTATAATTCCATAGGAAGGAGTTAAGTAACTATGTTACTGAAAATGAATATAGCCTACTGTGTGTAATTAATTATACTCATTTGAGCAGCAACAGGGGTAGTTTTGGTAATTTTTTATGTACACTACTGTGCAATAAACTGTTTTGCTATATGTTTATCAACTTTGAAAATCCATCATTACATTTGTTTACCAAAGAAATCTTCTCCTTAAAACAGGTTTATACTCTCATATAGGTCCCAAATTCAGTACCTAGAAGGGTACATCAGGGGAAGAAAAGAACCCCCAAACCCCCCCCCCTCCCCTTTTGGTGGTAGGGTGGTCAAGAAGGGGGGGGGGTAGGGTTCATCAGTAGGGTTATAAAAATTTCACAAACTCACAAAGAAGAGAGTTGAACGTGTTTTTGTTCGTGTTAAGAATATACATATTCATAAACATCAACTGTTGTTGTTCCTAATCTGTCATTGAGTGAAAATTTTGAAACATACATTTTTATGTCCCTGGCCTTTTATTTCGTAGATATTGAATATGTAGTTTAACATGATGTGTTTTAATATTTTTTGGGACGGGGGCAACATGTTACACACAATTATTTGGCTTTAAATAGGTTCCAGGTATTTTTTTTTTTTTTTTTTTTTTTGTATTTATTTAAGTTTTGAAACTCACGACCGTCACGTGTCCCTAGGGTACATTTTGCAACGTTCATGCTGTTTTTAGAATAATTATTCATGCCGAAATATATAATATCATATTTTTATTACATCAATAGTTATTAAACTTACGAAAAAGGAGCATATGATAACTTTGTTTTCATTGTAAAATGACTACCATGACTAAATAGGTCTGTCCCTCGATTTGACGTCACTACCATTAGGGAAAAATTTGCAACTTTGGAGCACGACAGTGGCAAGCCTGGCGTCGATGGAGTCAGTTGGTTTTAGAGACTATCGGGGTGTACTTCAGGATTGTAGTGCCGGTCGTTTCAAGTTGAAAGGAGGAATTACAAGATTAATAAAGGCAAATTTGTGTTTGTTGTAATTTTGGTGTGTCCATGACCGTACGTAGTCATTTGATGAAGTAGACATGGTGTTAATTTTTGTTTATAAGATATTTCAATTGCTAGTATAACCTAGAAGTCCACTTTGTATCCTCGAACATGAGGTGCAGGGCTACCGCCAGAACAGAGCCAAATAACATGTAATGTCACGACCAACGTTTCACGACCATCGCAGGTTTTTTTCACGACCAATCCAGCCTTATGGATTATACTGTGTTTGGTCGTGACAATAACTTAAATATCATTGTAAATTGAACAGTTTAGTTCAATTGAAACACATATTTTTATTATAACTAACAGTATAGTTTAAGGATTGTTTAGAAAGATTTAGATTATTCCGGACAATTCATGGCCAAACCGCTTGTCCCTGACCATCACGTTTATGATTTCTATCATATACATTTCAAAAATTAAAATATCATCTTATTTCAATGTTCTATACACAAAAGAAGCACACCTCTATAAAAGCATAAAGATTTTTCGGGTCTCAGGTAAGGTTTTTCGGAGTTATAAAAACTTAAAAAGATTTTTATTGGCTTTTTTCAATTTTTTGAGTTTTTTTATTTTTTTTAGAAAGATCAAATATATCAAAAGCTTAGTGAGCCTTTTATTGTATAATGGCCCTAAAAGTAAATTAATTTATAGCAAAACATGGTTATAAAAATAATATTACGGTAACTATTTTTAATATTCAGTTTTATGTCCGTGATGGTCGTGACAAAATTTCTTGTTTTTCCATCAAAGATGCTCTATTATAAAAAAAACCACAATAGATATTGCGTTACCATGGACATTTTATGAAACTTCAAATGTTAATGAAATAAAAAAATAATAAAAGTTTTAAAAAAATGGAACAACAAGTTTTTAAAGTGCTTTTCCTGAAAACGTACGTTACAACATTTTCACTCCATTACCTTAACATGTTCGCTTCTTTTATTCATTATCTGTGTCTTTTGCCTGAAGAAAACGAATAACAGTGTGGCAAAAAGTATCAACAGAAAGCAGAAGATTGACAAAAGACCAGCAATCCTGGCAGAGAAGACACCTTCCTTCACACTGTAGTGCCAAAACCCTGAAAAATCAACATGTGGTTAATAGTCAGACATTCTACATGTATAGTAGTCAGACCTGCTTTTAAGTTACAATTAGTTCATTTTGATTCTGTGAACTTATGAAACAACTTACATAACCCTTACCCATGTACTGGTTGTTGCAGATGTCTGTAAGATGCATTGCTTCAACTTCACTAGCACCTGCTGGAGACTCAGCATACAACACCAACAACACAGGCAACTAACATAACCCTTACCCATGTACTGGTTGTTGCAGATGTCTGTAAGATGCATTGCTTCAACTTCACTAGCACCTGCTGGAGACTCAGCATACAACACCAACAACACAGGCAACTAACATAACCCTTACCCATGTACTGGTTGTTGCAGATATCTGTAAGATGCATTGCTTCAACTTCACTAGCACCTGCTGGAGACTCAGCATACAACGCCAGCAACACATCAGATAGCTGGTCTAGACTGGACAAAACCATTTCTGAGCAGTTCTGCAACAGAAATTATTGACTTTTGAATCATGAAGTGACATATCTCTATTTAGACAATTTATAAGAAACATATCGTTTTCAAACTTAAGAGTACCTATATTATACAGCTTTTGCAAGCCTTAGTTTCAGATAACTAACCTAGTGTATCGGTAACAAACATTAAATTTAATATAAATATCTAGCTTGGATTAACAGTTTCAGTTTCATAAAATCTACACATTTTAGGCAAGAAAGTCACATATTGTTCTATCTGCCTTATTTTTTGTATGTTCTTTGCCAGCTTAATTTGAAATAAGGAATGACAAACACTTTAAAGACAGGGATTGAATAATTTGAGGGATTTTGATTGGACCTTTTCTCCATAAAGTGTTGTTGTCCTCTATTTAAAAATGAATCTGGGGTGAAAACAAACAATTTTTATAATTTATCATTATTTTATTGTTTCAGATGGGGATGTTCTATCTATGTGTGTATTTTAACCCAAATACAGTATGGGTGAAGGTGAAGGTGAAGGATAAGTGTTGAATGAAGTGTGATGCATTGTGTAGCTTTGTTACTATGGCCAGCTGTTTCATTAGTCAGGACCATTTATTAAAAGCCCAGTGATCAAGGACAGCTGATCCAGTTTTGAATCATCAAAAAGCTACACACTTTTTCTCAGAATTGAACCAGAGACCTTTTGATTACTCGGCAAGCACTAACAACTGAGCACCCAAGTACAATACTCCCTTAATCCTAGAAACAAGTGCTTGCCTACAAAACTGCATGTTGTAGAAGTTTAAACACAGCGCACCTTATTCCATCCTAAGTTTATCCTTCACTCATAGAAAAGAACTAGCTGCATGCTTATCCTAATTGGTAGATAATAAATTATAGTAGTGAAACATCTCACCCCACAGACAGTGTAAGAGACAGAGTGGTAATCAGTATCCTTGGGGTCGTACTGTGTTACGGTGAGGTTGTAGCTGTAAGGTATGTCTGCTGGAGGTTGCCATTGCACATGGAGCTCACAATCACCAGAGTCTGACAGATGGTCTTCAGCAGTCAGCTCAGTGGGAGCCTGAGGTCCTGGAACAGGAATTATTAGTGAAGTAAAATAAATCATATGAGACAAGATAACGCTGGTCGTCGTTAGTACCTATTAAATCTAAGAAAGCACTCATAGATTAGTAAAATATGATATTTGTCTTTTAAATCATTGGAGTACCTACATCCAGCTACGTCACCATGAATTCTACATTGAGAGTATGGCCATGCCTTGTGTATCGATCCTATGGTTTTAGCGCTTCCGTAATTGTAGACTTTGTATGTTTTTGATTGGGTAAAGCAGCGTTGAGTAAATCTTAAGTTGTTCATAAATCAGTCTTTCCTGTAGTAAGCACAGGTTGAAAGTAAAAAAATCATATACACCTTAGCATTGCATATTGGTTGGTATAACAAGTTGCCATTTTATTTCATCATCAGTGATCACTGGTAGCTACATCTTTAGTTTGCAGTTCTTTTAGAATGTCCTGTACAATAGTTGGATTTGTTTAGTGCTCTCATTGTTTTTTCGTGCATTTATTTCTGATTACATAACTCATTTTGAATAACAATTTTTCTATGTGCAATAGTAGAACCTATAGGAATAACAACCTAATTGATCCAAATTATGCATGGCTACTTACTGGAACATTTTATGTTGACTGGTGATGGTAACAAATTTATGAACTCCTTAAGGATATGAGTAATTCTGTAAATTACTAATCAAATCTCTGGTTGAACAATACAATCCACTGCAGTGTTTTGGGTTGAACCCTAGACAATATACGAAGTTTGTTTTTTAAGTAAGGGCCATTATTTTGTATTGCTATAGCTCCGTAGTTCGTGTGTACGCCAACACGAGACTACTCACAGCTTAACTATCATCTATAAACTGAATGGAACCATTTGCAGCTATGTAGATGATGTGTACCCTTCGTGTGTTTAGAAAATTGATTTAACTATTACATCTATACCGTTGCAAGCACATGCAAGATAAGGCCAGTCATAGGTTTTTTGACCATAAGAAACATATCCAATACTGACATTCATCGCCAGATGAATTGCAGATGAATGTCCGTGAAAATCTTTTTCCGTTTAGTCTTCTGTGCAGTGCCGGATTTCGGGTACCTGTACTCGAGCGGCCCCCACCCCTATCAAAATTCCGAGTGATCGTAGTAAAAGACTCGTGAATGACGTTAACTGTAAGATGCAAGGTTAACTGTAAGAAAGGACCTCGAGGTCCTAAGTTCGCCTTAACAAAAACGGATTTTGTCTGCCCTGGACCAAAATCTTGGGGACAACATCATCGACACCCGCAACCGCGGCAAAATCGTGAACATATCCTGTGAGCCGAAATCACAGGAACATCATCACTGTCACCAGTGATCGCGTCAAAATCGTGAACATTTCCTGTTGGCCACAATAACGGAGATATCATTATCGACACCTTGCGACCAAGGCAAAATTTAACCTTAGGTGTCACCTAAGTGTCTAACCTTAGGCATTCACAGGCCATCTAACTTAGGGCCTCAGGGTATAACCTTATTCAGTCATCTAACGATGAATGTCGGCATCGGATGTTTCTTGTAGTAAAATTATGTATCACTTACCTTTTCTCGCTTGCAACAACAGTTACAGTATTTAATCATGTAAAAAAATTTAAACACAAAAAACCTACGTCAGCTGCACATGGTTTCATTCTGTTCACAAATGATGCCAGTAAGCGGCAAGGAGCCTCGTGTCAGCATACACACAAACTACGAAGGTACGAAATAATAGGCCTTAAAAACGACCCTTGTATGTTTATTTGATCTCATTGTTATCTAGTGCATTATCAGTCTAGTTGACACTCACTGCAGACTGTGAGGTTCCCAGGGTTGAAGTAGAGACAAGGAGGTACATCAAAGTAGAGCCACGTCACCTCACTCTCTTGCTCTAGGTCAGGGCCTGGTAGAGCTCGGACTCCAAACTTGTAACTGGTGCCCAGCTCTAGATTGGACACTAGGATGTGGTCCAAGGGTTCTGGCTATAACCAAGAGAAAGATAGACATGGGTTTTACATTCAGAATTTCAACTTACCAAAAAAACTTTTTAGCTGTATGATTTTTGTTGGGTGGACTAATCTGAATGAAAAATAGTTTATTCCAGCATACAAAACCCAAACAAGTTACACTATACAAAATTTAGAATATTTCACTGTCACTATAGCAGCAGTTACAAGGGAGGTAAGAATTAAGTTGGCAAGAGAGATGTCTTAACACGTTCGCTGCTGACCGTTAGATGCCGGGACGGCGCCAGGAGCTGAACTAACGCTCGCCGCTACGTAAACATTGCTGCCGATACACTGAATTACAGTAAAAACAACAGTAGTTGTACAGGATGGCAATGTTCTGCAATAAAACTGGTTTTGGACATAGTACTAAGTGATTCTGATAGATAGCAGCACTGCCCAGGTTGTAGTCGGTAAATTAGTGTCGCTATCTAGCAGGAAAGAGGTGGGACAATTAAAGCCCTGTTCTATACGACCCTGGTGGTGATTTTGGGAAACTATATTTTTTATTGTCAGAAAAGTACGTCCCCACGAGCTGCAAATAAATATAGGACGCTCGAGACGAGCTGGCTGATCCATGGTAACGTTAAACATCAATGAACGGTGACGTTCCGGAACGTTCCTAGCTCCTGGCGCCGTAGCCCGTTTGACATTCCAGAACGTCCGTAGCAGCGAACGTGTTAAAATCTAACAATCATCTTCTCAGCTCAAACCTTCAATCCTTGGTTGACAATATTGTCAGTGACTGTGAAATATTCTAACTTATGTATAGTGTAAAGCTTGAGTTTTTGTGTTTCTTGAAGCATTGTGGACCCTCATCAAAACAAGTTTCTTAGTAAACAAATAACACCGAAGAGGGACGGACACACAGAATAAGTTTCAGCTAAGTCATGAAGAAGTAACCTGAACGAACTTGGGTAGTTGAAGAAATCATACTCTTCTTTACTATAGTTACTACTACCATAGACAAATAGAATTAAATGTAGAACGACAGCAGTGCTGCGGTTAGCATATGTTCTGGCGTCTACTACTATGAGCGCCATGTAGTTACGTAGCGGGTGCGCCTTAACTACAAGGCACTCCCAGTGTTGGTCGCCAGAACTTATGCTAACTGCAGCACTGCTGTCGGACTATATTTAATTCTGTTTGTCTATGCTATTACAGACTATCTAAAACAATCTGATTGCAAATAATTGATATAAAAAAGCCTGTGCAAAGAAGATAAATACAGGTAGGGCCTGAGCGTAGGATCTGGAACTATAGTGGCACTTATTAAGATGCACCTTATATTTGAATAGCTGAAAAATCCCTTTTAAATTGTTTTAACAATTTGTGAATCATTCAGAAGTAACAAGATGAATGAAAACATATTACACCTATTATTTATGAATATTTCAGTCTAATTGCAAAAATAAAAGATTGAAATGGTTTTAATGAAACAACAAATTATTGGAAAGTTTCAAACTAGATCACAGATGAACACAAAAAAATAGAAGCTGAAGATTGGATGAGATAATGTTTTCTTACATATTTGACTTGAGACATGTTCGCATGAGAGATGGCAGCAGTTTTCCACAGAACCAGTCCATAGTGACATGGGAAACCTGTGGTACAAACAAAGTATCTTTTTAATTTTTAGCCTATCAATAACATTGTTATCCAAAAAACCAACGATTTGTAAAGCCGTAGCATATGGTTGGTACCTTAGTGAAAAAAAAACAAAGATTTTTACATTCTGCTTTATTGTGCATAAATACAGGATTTTCATAAAATAATGGTGGGGTTTAACTGTCTGTAAAACAAGTTATAAGACCATTATAAGATTAAACCCCTGTACAATCTAATCACAGAATATGACTCATACTTGAGAGGATAATCTATTCCCCACATCTTTACCAGCTACGATAGGGGTTGTGGTTGGCTATAATTATTATAATGGGAAGAAGTAATCAACGGGTGATGGATTTGAACCAGCTTGCCTGGTGGAACCAGGACCTTGTAGGAGACCCATGACCCATGTGTGTTTTTGTAAAATGTTTTTTATAATGCAATATATTACGTACGTTGATTATACTTCTCCGTTTGCTGATTGTGAGGGTAAAGCTAATTCTACATTTACAGTACGGAGTAAGAGACTGCGTGCCCACTTTGAGGTACATCAGCGCAGAGAAAGATTGCATCCCTTAAGTCTGCATGTTGACAGTAAATAGAGACTCACCCGGGGCAAAGCTCCATGAGAGTTCGGCAGATGCTGAAGCAGGGGAATCAGCCCAGACATCTTGCAGCTGTACGACATCTACTGGTGTCAGCACTACACCTTCTGATGGGCAAACAACATCACCCATAGCAGTGCATTACAAAGAATTAATAAATTATTAGCAATAAAAAATAAAATCAAACATGTTTTTGGACAGAGAAGTTTCTGAAATCAAATATTTTAAATTATTTTGTTCTATAGTGAATGTATTGGTAAATAAAAGGGTACTTATTATAAGCACTTTGTTACATGAAAAATTACCTGGAAGTGTTCTAAACTGATGTGATATTTCCTCTTCAGTATGATGATCCAAAATTATTTTCAGAGTAATTCTATACTCACTATTTGACTTGAGACCATCCAACAAAAAGGAACATTTGTCCATCTGTAACAGCACAAGATCAATTTTATTAGCGTTTAAAATGTCAAACACAATCATTTATCTTAAAAAAAGAAGTTAAACAAAAATTAGTTGGACCAAATACCTTGTCTTTCACAATAAAATTACAGTTTCAGTTTCTATTTATGTTATATCCCAATCAATGGTATTCGGTATTTCTTTGGCGTTAATCAGTTATTTTAACATTTTTATCTGCTCTGTAAAATCTCTGAATCAAGTTTCTTTATCACAAGTTCTCAATCACACACAGTTTCTTATCATGTCTCCTTTAATCTTATTTTATGACTGCTGTTGCATTTTTGCTACTATTTATAGGCTTCAAAACTAAAATAATTGTCTAATAGGTATCAAGAAGGTTTAGTTAAGGAGCAGTAATAAATCATTTGCAAATTGAGAATGAGCTACTAGTTACCTCACAGTGGCGGTTTCTAGAGAGGGGGCCATAGGAGCCATGGTTCGGACCGCGGTGAGGAGGCGGTTCAGGTTGTTCTCACGACAGTTGTGTGATGAGTATTTTCAATTAATATCTAATTTTGTTTAACTCATTAAGAGGAATATGAAAATATTTATATGAAGGAAGGATAGCATATTTTATAAAACTCTACATATAAAAATTTAGAGTAGGCTTTTTTAATATACTCCAAAATTTACTCGTTAATGAGCCAGAGATTTTTCGTGGCAAAAAAAGTACCTACAAAAAATGCATTACTATTATACGAAACTATCACTTAAACGTACCTAAAAAAAATTGTATTTTCACACCACTGTAAACATAAAAATAAACAAATCTAACAAAAAACCACTAAGTGGTAACACTTCCCCCGCCAAGTCAGCAACCCAAAAAAGACAATAAATCACCACTTTTCCGCCAAGTAAAACAATGTAATGTATGTAAGTTTGGCAACTTGGCGGCAGACTTTTGCTTGTTTTTTTTTTTATTAAAGTTACGTTGGTGGATAATTTCACAAATCAACTTCTCTAATTAATTAGTCCAACTAAGTATAATAATTTCGAGGTAATCAGTAAATATAAAACCATCACTATTATGATTTTATGAAATGTGACACAAATAAGGTCAAATTTTGTAAAATAAGCTCTCATCTAGCAATGTACTATTGGGAGGGATACTTGCTCAATGAAACTAATTTTATGGTATTTTTTAAAGTGATCAAGCAAAAGTCTGCCGCCAAGTGGCCAAACTTACATACATTACATTGTTTTACTTGGCGGAAAAGTGGTGATTTATTGTCTTTTTTGGGTTGCTGACTTGGCGGGGGAAGTGTTACCACTTAGTGGTTTTTTGTTAGATTGTATTTATTTTTGTAGAAAATTAACAGTTAAAATTTAAATCCTCTTTTCTCTTATATAGACCAGGGCACAACTACACATAAAATGCATTGGTGTTACATAAGTGTTCCGATAATTAAACCCGTATATCTAAAGACTAGTGTAAATTGAGCCCTTATTAGAGAAGTAAAAATGTAATCAAACAGATTAGGTTTGTTAGAAATAGCATAAGGCAAAACAAATATTGAAAAACTCATTTTTATCCTAAATTTACATATCACTTTTTACATTCACTTTTTTGCTTGTTTAACATACGTAGACGAATTTTCCCGATTGTTTTATTTGTTTTAGTGTATCAAAACATAAAACTAACCTTATTTAGTTAAATAAATTTTGGCAATATTATGAAGAAACAATGTTAAAACTAACCTTAGTACTAGTACTAAGTTTCAAGTTCCTAGGTTTCATATGTTTTTGATAAGTAGTATTAAACTGTTAAAAATGACGAGCTGCTGTACCAGTGTACCATCGGTACACTGCATTTTTCAATGGAAAGTATCGGGGAATATCACTGCTCTAAGTAATTTTATATAGTAAGTAGCTCAAATCATTCGGTATACCTGAAAAAAATACTTTATAAAAGTTTTAAAATAATTTTTCAGCTGATCCTATGAATTTCTCTAACATTTTAAATTAATTGAGATTTAATCGCAGCTGATCCTTCTTTTGTTTTGATTTTAATCCCATGTTATTTAAATGGGCCAAAATCGTACTTTGAGGGCTTGCCAAGGGTTTATGGGTCAACGCACCGACTTGTGACCCTCAAAAGGCACATCTACACGCTAAGGGCTTTCAAACAACATAAAAAACATTAAAATTGAGCCAGTGGTTTGGGCTGTAGGTCCGTCAACATTTAAGGAGAAGAAGGAGAACACGGAAAATTTGTGAATTTTCAAACTAGTTTTTCTTGGCTCAAACACAACCTTTTTTTAAATTCTTTTTTTTATTTTGCCAAGAATGATTGCCCCTATCCAGTGGATGAACAATTATTTTAATAGCTTTTGTTTCTTCAGAGCTATAGACGAGTAAAAAAGCCACTTTGTCACGTCATGTATATATACACTGCAGCAGCTGTGTACCGCTGGGGGACTTGGCGGGGCGGAACGCTGCCGCGTTCCTTAATTAAGTTTTAAGATAATCAAACTGGCATCCCGAATGTTTTTGAAAAAAAGCATCCGCGATGTTACTCAGACAGGTCAAGAGCGCAGACCGATTTTCGGCGTACCCCCACCCCTACAAAACCGGTTCAGAGCCACTCCAACCATATCTACCCCCAGGCTTCATAAAGAAACGCACGTGCTCTACCCACTAGTGGCTCAGTAGTCAGTTGATTATTTGTTTTGTTGCGTTTTTTTTTTTTAGTTAGTAACAAAGTTTGACAAGATTGAACCTATGTGCATCATCCCTCCACTTAAGCACAAGCATATGACAAAATTATAATGGTAAGTAATGGAAGCGTTTAAGGCTTAAGCTTTGCTTAGCCGTTTTCTAAGTTAGGTTTAGTGTAGACTCAAGATTGAGCAACCCATTACAGTACTACGAGTGTGACGGTGGCGATGTCTACCTGACTATCTACTCACACCACACTGACATTTCTACAGAGTATTCACTCACGTAGACATATGTGCGTTCAAGTGTATACATCAACAACGTCGCAGTGTCGCACGCTCACCCGCCCAGCTGGGAAATGTCGTACAGATACCATCTATGTTATAACTTAATACGGAGTACTGTGCTTAATCTTTGTTAATACTCCCCTGGATACTGGCACGCTGTGTGGTGGAAAAACGGGCCGTGCCCACCATTCGAAATGGTGGGATACTGAGGCCGGCAGGTCGTATGAACCTCTCTCTTTTACACAAACATATTCTCTCACCCTGCTCTGCTACACTTATTTGTTAACATAAAGATTTGAAATTTATATATATTTTTTATAACAGACAATGCTTATTACTGTGTAGTTTATAGTTTGAACCTTAACATATTTTTTTTGTAGTTTATCTAAGCAAATTAAAATTGATGGTTTTTAACACCACTAAAAACCTCAAAAATGTAGTAAGCAAGGAACTATTTTATTTTCTGAAAAAAATCATTGTTGAAGGAATACAATGCGTGTCGACATTACGAAACAAAACATTTAAAAATAGATAGGTGAAATTACAGGGCCGGTAAGAACAGAAAAAGTTGTATCACTGAAAAAAGGAAGTTTTGCACTTAAACTCTCCTTTTCAGATTACAAGAGATTAAACTTTTTCTTCGTCAAGACTGCTAAAAATGTTGACTTTGCAAGTATAATTTTTCACAAATTTCCGGGGGAGGACCCTGGACCCCCCTCACGCAACATGGGGGGTATTCCAAAACCCCCTGGTAGTCGTGGCCATGCTGGCCCAGAACTAGAATACCCCCCACACCCCCGAAAGAATGCCACCCCCCCCCCCAAAAAAACCCCTGGAACCGCCCATGTTACCTCATGTGCAAATTGATGGATGAGGGGACCTCGAATTAAAATATTAAGCTGGGAGTTATTTGGCCACTGAAAAAAAAAAACATAATGAGGTATACTAAATAAACTACATGCTCTTCTTAAAGAACTCACTCGATCTGTGCTGGTCCAAGAGGTGTCCTTGACTAATGAATACTGCACTATGTATTCAAGTTCTGGAGTTTCACACCATTTGAAAGCTATCCTATCCGTACCATGACAGAGCAACTCTAAGTTGTTGCTTCCTCTCCTCTTTCTTTTTACTAACTCTCCTGCAAACAAGTATATACAATAAGTTGGATGAATCGTATTACAAATTATATTCTGTACATAAAATTTGTTAAATTTAATTCATGTGAACTAGTTTAACAAACGTAGGCCTATTGAACAAGTTTCATAAAACGTGAACAATGAATAAAGGAGCATAAGTTATGATGTCTTTAATTGCCTTGTAGGCATCACCTTGCCTTATATCACCATTATCTTAATCTTTTACAAAAACAATGTTGATGGCATTAGAACTTGGGCTTTCACAAATGAATACATATAATGTTCAATATTACTTAGGTAATATATTTAAAATTAATCAAGATTTACTTGGACTTAAAATAAGACACCATGCTTAAGCATTGAAGTAGTTTTACATCATCTTGAGTTCTATCTAACATGGGTTGAGTTACAAAAATATAGCAAACCGGACACCACAGCCTTATGTATATCATATAGAGTCCTTTAATAACATATAGGTACCTACTTTATAAAGTTATTATATAGGCCATACTATTATGTACAGCTCGACATCTTAGCTGGCACTTCGCCGATCGCTACTAGTACCTATTTCAAAACGTTATGTCCCGTCATGTGGGTAGCATCAACTGTCCTCGCGATGATAACTTTTTTAAAAACTAATAAAAGTCATAATTTCCGATGAGTTTAAAAGACTCAACTCATAGATTACGTATCTAACAGTTCCATATAATAAACATTTCTTATAAATATTTTATCATTTGTCAAAAGCTGATCTGGTTTTTAGTGTATTCTACAAATGTTTCCCACAGCCGCATTAGGTTGTCCGTGTTGATCTTCGTCAATGATAATGTAAAATTTTAAGCGTAAAATAGACGATAAATATTGTTAACTGTCTAAAAGGTCGTTCTCAAAAATCCCTATTTTGTACACTCAAAGTTAATTATTCTCACCAATTTCCTGGCCATGGAGTAAACTGTGGGTGAAAAACCGGGGGTCAACATTCGTGCCATACATTTTAAGATAAAAATCATCATGGGGGTTAAAGTCAGGGGATGGGACAAAGTTCCGGCCAGTATTCTAGGTTTTATAATTTGATTTGTTCTGATTAAATTCACAACACCGTGAAAAGACAGGTAGCTTAGTTCCGCTTTAATTTTTTCAAACTCATATTGCGCAACTCAAAAGTCCCGGCCAGAATTTTGCCCCCTAGGCTGTGACATCAGTTGACAGTTTTGCTCAGTGGGTAAAATTCGAAGGGGGATAATTCCACTACCCCACTATAATTTGTAGTAAATACAAAATATTTTTTTTAACTTTATTTTATTTTACAATCTGTTCAGTAGGCACTGTGAACAATTAGTAAAAGGCATAAAATAATATAAATAAGTGACTTGACCAAGAATCTCCCCAGTGAAAGATCTTGGAAAAATAAATAGTCGTCATGGAACTAAAACTACACAAATCGGTATGGGAGTTCAAGAACTTTTACAATTTTTAGTAATTCATTACAATCAGGCACTAAAGAGAAATAGGTAACAATTTTCCACAAATGTTGTCCTTAATCTACCTACTACAAATTTCCTTTAGTTTATATAGGTACTTTGTCAGTGCTTATAAAATATCTGCCAAGCTTTATGTCTGTACTGTATTTTGGAACCCATTTAGCACTTTAGATGCGGCGTCGGCGCACCTATCAAAGATCAATATCAATACAATGCACGATCTTTGCTGTCGCTGGTGCATGCTCTAGTCTAGTGTAGTGGTTCACTTAAGCCCCGTCGTTGTTGGCAGCGCTAGCGCCGCGCCGCTGAATATTGAACAAGTTAAATCTCTTTGGCTTTCCGCTGTCTGTCTGTCACTGTCGACTGAATTGTTCGGTGTTTTTCTTACTCGTCAGCTGGAGCTGAATTGAATTCGAGTTTCGCAGGGTATTTACTCAGGGGAGGTATAGAAGAGGCTACGATGACAGCCGTGGGCTTCTTATTAGCTGAGGGAACGCCATTACCGTAACAAAACGGACAACAGCCATCGGCCTCGGTGGTCTAATGGTTAGCGTGCTGAGCTGATATACTGTAGGTCCCGGGTTCGAATCTCGCTGGTAGCATTAACTTTTTGTCCAAGATGTTTTTATTATCAGCAAGTTTGGTTGGTTTGGTTCGGTTATTACAGTTTAATTTTATTATTAAGTCATTATAAAATTTTAATTGAGCAATTTCTAGTTTTATTTAATAAACAGAATTATTTTCCGATTACTAAACTTTTGTTATATTATTTCTTTATCAGCAAGTTTGGTTAGTTCGGTTAGGTAATGATAGTTTAATTTTATAATTAAAAAATAATAAAACTGAATTTGAGGCATTTATAATTTTATTTTATGAACAGAACTATTATGCGATTAGTAAACCTTCATTGCCAAAGTGCTCTCTACTACAGCGCTGTTCACGGAGGAATTTAGAACTAAATGCCTCATTCGTACCTCCCCTAAGTCAGACCCGTTTCGCAGCATCTCTGGTTGCTTGAAATTGAAATGTTGATATCGTCGTCTGCTGGCTGTCTGCTCTGCTGTAGCCTAGCTGTTTTGCTGTTTAAAACCCTTCAAGTATTTTTTGCCAACATAATATTTAACGTAAGTAAAATATAGGACTATCACGGAAAAGAGAAGTGTAATCATAATTATGTAGGTACCTATTGTCTTAGTTTTATAAAGGTTTTATAGTCACATAACCTGATATCCCCTAGTCTAGACTTAACCAAAGCATTATTTGCATTATACTATACAGCACTAAAAATATCATGCCAAATTCTTGTTCTCTATTCCGGCAATGATTGAATGATTTACCTATTATAATTTGGCTGCACTTTACTTGACGTCCTACACTCATTCGATTGTTTTTTTCGATTCGATATTTTCATTCGATTGTTTCATTCGATATATCGTTTGGTTAGTTAGGTTAGGTTAACCTTACCTAACTAACCAAACGATATATCGAATGAAGCAATCGATTAATCGATATACCGATTGATATTTTCATTTGAATGAGTGTAGGACGTCAAGTAAAGTGCAGCCTATAATTTTACAAAATTCATATTATGTACAGTTTCTTGTTAATAAAATAAAACTGTCCCACCAGCCATTAACATAGGCCTAACTTACTAGAACATTTTGAAAAAAGTTGATATCAGACTTCATTGCATCATGGATTTTATAGGCCTATAAAGAGTTTGGCGTTTGATTAAGATTAAATTGTGATAACACTTGAATTAATACTTTAACTTAAGCTTATTTGTTTGTTTTTGTTTTATTTTTTATCAAGGTTAAAGGCTCTTCTTTAACTCGCAAATCTTTCCAGTTGTGATTTTCAGTCCATGAATAAACAGATCATTGATTGTAAATTAGGAATAGAATGCAATTCCCAGCTACTACAAAATAACCTTACAGCAACTTACGTCAGTTCAAAATTGTAAAAGAATTGCCTAAACTTATTTTCATTCGACGTAGTTAATGTTTAACAAAAGTTATTATTTATAAACTTAGACCTACTATTAGCTTAGCCTCGTGGGTGAAACGGTGGCTATTTGATGGGATATGTCCGTTGGGAGGCCACTCTACATCTTTGGGGTACTGTCATTTGATTTGTTTTGTGAGATATAGATGGAGGGTGGGAACCACTGGGACTGCTGTGCGGATCGCTCTTACCTGGATAGGCCTAGTCATCTAAAGTAAAAAAAGAATGAACTAGATCAGATTGCAGTCTAGGTCGTGTGAGAAATGAATGGCTAGACATGGAGCAAGCCCTACTGCCTAGTTGTGACCATTGTGACTAACTTAAGTGCGACAAGTGTTCCTAGGCTAATGCCCGAAGAGTAGAGGAAGTTTTTAGTGGGTAGTCTTTGGAGCCTAAACCTGTTTGAATCCTTGACTACAGGCTAGCCACCCGTGTGCGTAAACACATTTTCCCACCTTTCCCTCAAAAGAAAAAAAAAGATTTACGGTTCTACCTAAAGGTTATGGGAACGGGGTTTTAGTAGTAATTTACATACAATTTTTCAATTTCTTTTCAAACCTTTTTTGTAGAGCTAACAAAAATGTGTACCTAAGTGTAGTGTTGTTGCACAGTTAAAGAATACCCTACAGAAAAAAAACTGTATAAAAAAACATTGTTTTGTGAATTCAAATGTTATTCTTATGGTGATTAAATTAACGGTTGTAGTTTGCCTTACACTAAGCTATAATAATTTCACTAAAACCACTTGAATTATTAACCTTCCCTGCAGCAGAAAAGCTAAGTAGGCTACTCGTAAAATCTAATTTGACTTTATGGGTAATAAATCCGACATATTTTAGGACATAGCTTATTCAAGTGAAAATTCAATCAGGAAAATTGAAATTCTGCAGCTTTGCTACTGCAGGGGTGTTTTTTTCAATGTTTTTGCTAAGAGACTACCACTTGAAGAGCACTGACAGAACTTTTTGTGAGTTGATGTCTCTTGCTTCTGTGTTGACAAGTCAGCCAGTTCAGTGCCAACTCGACAGAGTTGATCAAACACAGCTAACAAGTGCCAAATTGTGAACTGAGCAAATTGTGAAAAGATGGTTATTTTCGTTTAAACTTCTCATTACGTTAGTTGTTGACCAGGAATGCATGTACACAACAAATAAAGGTCTATATTTTACCTTGTGATTATTTATTAGTTTCAATTAAGAACCTTGTGAAGTCTGTTTTCAATCATGTTCATTTTATCCAATACGGTACATTGTTTTTTCAGAACAGAAGCAGTTGATTCGTTTGCTACCATGAGTTCCTTTAAGACAATGATAAGATTTAGTAAACACTTCTCAAGATCTGCCTCGACCGCTGCCGATGCCAGTTCCACATTTTACTGTTACAATAGAAACCCAAGAAACCTTGAAAAACTTAGAATAGCCCACAAACCAGTTGGATGGTTTCTTGAGAAACCTGGGAAGACATATTGGAACAAGTTAGTAAGATCATATTTTTCTTGTAACAAGCATAGGCTACAT